ATACTCCAACATGTATATGAGTCTAAACTATTTCAGTTCCACAAGGAAAGCTGGGGGTGGATTATTCATGTATCGGGAAGTTCCCGAAAGAATACCATGGGCGATATTCTTAGGGATAACCCAATCACTATAAAAGTGATTAGTAAAACATCCACATTTAAACTCTAAATGTCGGAATGTTTCCCATTATTGTTATCAAATTCACTAATTCTCATGAGTTATTTTGTTGAGACGAGATTCGATCCTTTTGACAGATTAATCTTTCCTCACAAAAATCCCCCACTGATCAAGTCAATTGACGGTGGGTCCACTAAATTTTCTGTCCGCCAATTCATGGCAATTTCCAAAGCTTGACGTGTTAAGTCCTGATTACTTAACGTCAAACCCCTTCATCGAGTGGCCAGTACAAACCAGTATTTCTACTGCTACCTGTATTCCACTCCCTTTGCTTTCTTGGTCAAACCTTCCTACAGTTAGGGCCACAATCAAAATCCCCTCTCGATTCCTCCAATGAACGAGAGGTCCACTTTCAAATCGAGTGATCAAACCTTCCTACAGTTAGGGTCATCTCAAACTCCTACTTGGTCAAACCTTCCTACAGTTAGGATCAAAACCATAATTCGCTCTCGATAAACGAGAAATTCATCTTTAGTTCGGTAATCAAACCTTCCGACAGTTAGGGTTATCTGAATCTTTTCGATTCTTGGAGTGGAGATCCCACTCTTGGTTTCACCTTTCCGGATTCTGGGGGTGGAGATCCCACCTCGAGTCTTCTTTCCAGCTGAAGATAGAATATAAAATTCTTCTTCTTCAGTGTCGGGAGATAGAATATAAAATTCTTCCTCTCCCATTTCGGGTTCATCTTTGCCCCAAGAGAAGACACCACCTTTTTCAACTCCCAAAATCTGTGCCTCACATGTACAGGGAATTTTATCCCGAATCTTAAGTAGGGATAAGTCAACGCCTAACACGCATTGCCGGTTTATTCTTTCACCGATTGAAGAAGACACCAGAATTCCAGTCTAGGAAGTTTATCCCGAATCCTAAGCAGGGATAAGTCTGCGCCTAACACGCGCTGCCGGTTTAGTCTTTTTCCGCAGAAAAAGACACCAGAGTTCGGTTCTGGGGTATTTTATCCTGAAACCTAAGCAGGGATAAGTCTGCGCTTAACCCGCGCTGCCGGTTAGTAGAGTTCGATTCTGGGGTATTCTGTCCTGAAACCTAAGCAGGGATAAGTCTGCGCTTAACCCGTGCTGCCGGTTAGTTCTTAACCGTTAAAAAGAACACCCGCTCACATATTCAACATTGTGGCAGGTTGTTATTAATAACACCGAAATCCATGCCTTACACGCATAGGGAATTTCATCCTGAATCCTAAGAAAGGATATGCCGACGCCTAACACGCGTCGTCGGTTTAGTCTATCTATCCCGAAGCCTATGTAGGGATAAGTCAGCGTCTAATACACGTTGCCAGGTAGCCTATTCCCGTAATAATGATGAAGCCTATGTATTCGACGTCATAGCACAAAGTCTCAGAGAATTCACTCTCTTAGCACAACGTTACATGCGGAACGGATTTAGACAATCCGCATGCTAGCCCGATTCAAACGGTAGTCGGTAAAGGCTAATCAAATCCGTTGAAGGCTGGGGGTTAGCCAAAAATCCTAAAGTCAACGCCTAACACGCGTCGTCGGGTAGTCTATTCCCGTGAGAAAGACGAAGTCTACGTATTCAACATCGTAGCACTAAAAGGTTTAACTCTTTTAGCTTAAACGTCACATGGGAACGGATTTAAACAATCCGTATACTAGCCCGACTCAAACGGTAGTCGGTAAAGGCTAATCAAATCCGTTGAAGGCTGGGGGTTAGCCAAAAACCCCAAAGTC